GGTTCAACACGGGAGGCGACAGTTACCGGTGATAAGCCTACAACTCAATTGGTGTAGAGTGAGGCGCCAGGGGTTGCTTCCGTCGGTGGGAGAAATTATCCGATTTCATAGGACAGCTACCGCCCACCTCAAGCTGGGCAGCCCCCAGCCAGTAAGGTGCTGTCCTGCCACGCCTGCCTGCTCCGCTGGGTTCTTGGGGCTTGGGCCACAATCCAATAAGCGGATCATCAACCATACTCCAGGCAAAAGAAAACAAACACAGAGCCCCCAGGTCTCAAACTGGGCACATGGAATGTAAGGACCATGACAACGGGTCTCTTGGAAGATCTACTGGAAGTGAATGACGCCCGCAAGACAGCTGTGATAAACAATGAACTACGCAGGCTCCATGGACATAGTCGCCCTGCAGGAGACACGTCTGCCCGCGACCGGCAGCATAAGGGAGAAGGACTTTACCTTCTTCTGGCAGGGCAAACCACCAGAAGAGGTAAGGGAGCATGGCGTTGACTTTGCCATCAGGAACAGGTTATTAAGGTCCATAGTACCGCCCACGGAGGGGTCTGCAAAGATAATCAAACTTCAGCTTCATACAGCAGCAGGAATGGTCAGCCTCATCAACGCCTATGCACCAACACTGACCTCCTCTACCGAAGCGAAGGACAAGTTCTGTGATGACCTCCACCTAACTCTCAGACATACCTCAACAAGATCCAGTCTTCCTCCTGGGAAATTTTAATGCAAGAGTTGGTTCTGATCACAGCTCTTGGCCTTCCTGCCAGGGCCAGTTTGGATTTGGAAAGATGAATGAGAGTGGGCAGCGCCTCCTGGAGTTCTGCTGCCGCCATGATCTCTGCGTCACCAATTCCTTCTTCAACACCAAGCCCCAGCATAAGGTTTCCTGGAGACACCCCAGGTCTAAGCATTGGCACCAACTCGACCTGGTGCTTACAGGGCGTAGCAATCTGAGAAACGTCAAACTGACCCGCAGCTTCCAGAGCACAGATTGTGACACCTACCACTCTCTCGTTGTTTGCAGAGTAAAGTTCCAGCCCCGGAAAATCCACAGAGCAAAGAAGGAGGGAAGACCACGCATTAACGTAAACAATACCCGTGACCTTCACAAGGTGGAGGAATTCACTGCGGCGCTGGTAAATGCCCTTCCTGTACCACCCTGCGATAGTGCAAGTGAGAGGTGGTCACATCTCAGTGGCACTATTTTCAACACTGCCATGTCCACCTTCGGTAAGAGGCAGAACAAGTCGGCAGATTGGTTCGAGGCCAGTGAAGAGGAACTGTTACCCCTCGTAGAGGAAAAGAGACGAGCTCTCTCATCCTACAAGACGCTGCCCTCAGAAATGAACCTACAGGACCTCCGTATTGCCCGCAGTAGAGTTCAACAAACTGTGAGGCGCTGTGCTAACGATTACTGGCTTCGTCTGTTCCAGCATCCAGACTGCGGCCACTGTCGTCAACAAAAGAGGTATGTACGAAGGGATCAAACAGGCAACAGGCCATACACACAAGAGGACGGCTCCTCTGAAGTCAGCCACTGGAGAGATCATTAAAGACTGTGATCAACAGGTGAATTGCTGGGTGGAACATTATTCCGAACTCTACTCCAGAGAAAACTTGGTCCCTGCCCATCATGGAAAAACTTGATCTTGAACCAACTTGAAAGAAGTTGAGAAAGCAGTGGATTCACTTTCCTCAAGGAAGGCCCCAGGAGACGACAGGATTCCGCCTGAAGTTCTCAAGTGCGTTCGTGGAACACTTAAAACTAAGCTTCATGAACTTCTATGCCAGTGCTGGAGGGAGGGCTCGGTGCCACAAGACATGAGAGATGCAAACATCATCACACTCTACAAAAATAAAGGTGAGAGAAGCGATGTCAACAACAATCGTGGCATCTCCCTCCTCAGCGTCGTCGCCAAACTCTTCGCCAGGGTCGACTTGGTCAGGCTTCAGATTCTTGCTGAAAGAGTGTACCCGAGTCACAGTGTAGTTTCCGAGCAGAGAGGTCGACCACTAACATGGTGTTCTCCCTGAGACAGCTTCAAGAAAAGTGCAGGGAGCAGAGAAAAGCCTTGTACATCGCCTTCATTGACCTTACAAAGGCCTTCGACCTCGTGAGTAGGGACGGACTCTTCAAGATCTTGGCCAAAATTGGCTGCCCACCCACACTACTCAGCATGATACAATCGCTCCACAAGGACATGAAGGGGACAGTCGTGTACGACGGCTCAACTTCTGAACCATTCAACATCAACAGTGGTGTTAAACAGGGGTGTGTTCTTGCTCCAACCCTGTTCGGCATCTTCTTCGCGATCCAGGTCAAGCATGCCTTTAGAACAACAACAAAAGGCATCTATCTCCGTACAAGATCTGATAGAAAGCTCTATAATCTATCCAGACTCCGAGCAAAGACAAAAGTACATATGCAAATCCTCAGGGAGTTCCTCTTCGCCGATGACGCAGCGATCACCACACACACAGCAGAAAGCCTGAAGCAGCTTCTCAACTACTTTGCCGCAGCCTGTTCCGCATTCGGCCTGACAATCAGCCTGAAAAAGACACAGGTGATGGGACAAGATGTCAATGAGCTACCCTGTATAAATATAGCAGACTGTGTGCCGGAGGCAGTTCATGAGTTTGTGTACCTGGGCTCCACAATCTCAGACACCCTTTCCCTGGACACTGAGCTCAACAGGCGTATCGGGAAGGCCGCAACAACACTGGCCAGGCTCACGAAGCGCGTTTGGAAAAATGCCAAACTGACAGTGCACACCAAGGCGCAGGTCTACATGGCATATCTGGTGAGCACACTACTCTACGGCTCGTAATCCTGGACCCTGCGTTCTCGCTAGAAGAGACGGCTCAATACCTTTCACATGCGGAACCTGAGACGCATCCTTGACATCACGTGGAAAGACCACGTCACCAACAACACAGTACTCGAGAGAACAGAAGTCCTTTCAATGTTCACTCTGCTGAAGCAGAGACGCATGCAATGACTGGGACATGTCACACTCATGAACGATTGATGCATACCGAAGGACCTCTTGTATGGAGAACTGGCATCAGGAAGGAGACCCACCAGAAGACCTCAGCTGCGTTTCAAAGACGCCTGCAAACGCGACCTCAAGCAGATGAACATCGACATCAACACTTACAAGTCAGCAGCTTCGAACAGATCTGCCTGGAGATGTAAAGTGCAGAAGGGACTCCAGCAATTCGAGGATGAACTGAAGAGGCAGGCGGAGGATAATATACTTCAGAGGAGGTCTCGACCACTGTCAGACGCACCCGCTTCGGCGTTTATCTGCGCTCGCTGCAGTCGGGACTGTCATTCTCGAGTTGGCCTTCACAGCCACAGCAGGCGCTACATCCAACTACACTACAACAACTAGACACCCAGGGCACAACTCCATAACCCCACGGGATTGACGGATGCTTACTACTATTGACATGAAAGATCCAAAGATTATTGCTCAAAACAATAATAAGAACACTGTAGGTAACGGTGTTTATGTGATACCAACAAAGGTTGTGACGATAATCATAAGTGCAGTGGCTATTCTGGCTGGTGTTGTGCCAATCGCACATTAATAAAAAAAATGTAAAACAGAAAAAAATTAAACTGCTTGTGTCCTCTACACTATGAGAGCTGCGGGTAAAAACCAAAGAACGAAAAACCTTAAAAATTTAATATAACATAAATTACTTTAATAATACACAAAATAATGAGATATAATAATAATACACAATAAATTACTATTTATTGATGATATAAGTTATTCCTCTTCTTAGTTATCGTTGTTTTCCCGTTATTTACTCCCACACCACTAGCCACTGACTGTTTTACAGCCTTACACACTCTTCCCTCTAATGGGGCTGCTTAAGCTGCCACCACCTTCTTTGAAAGATTAATCACCTCTTTCGAAAACATGGTATTCTTGCAAATATAAGTGTTCAATTTATCAATGAATGCAATTGCATCAATTGCATTATACGTGCAATACTTGTCAAGTCATTAGTTTACACCACTTTTTCTCGACATGTACTCACTGCCGATCCTCAGCCTTGGCATCACACCACACATGACTGGAACCCCGCCCGTATTCCTTAACCATATCTTGCATCCAACAACGTCTTACTTCTACCTCAGCAAGTATCGTTTCACCAACAGAGATGCAGACAATTGGCTTGATCCTATTACCTGATATAGGACTGCTCATTCTATCCACTATATCTCCATCCCTCGCCCTAGGAAAACAAACCATACGTCTGGTTTGCAACATTGGAGCAGACGGCCCTGTCCACATATCGTACATTCAAATCTGCAACAATGATTACCCTCCTACTTTTTGGTTGCTATCTACAGTTTTCCTGCTTAAAGGGGGTTGTGCTCAAGCTCTCCTTTTGGTTACACCTTAAGTTCTTTCCTTGTAAAACAGACATAGCTCGACTTTTCAACCATGCCTGTCTGATGATTGGTTTGTCATCCTCCTTTGTTATGGTCTTAGCTGCGCTGTAACCCACCAGTCTCGTGCAATCATGATATTCTTCTGATTTACCTCCATGCACGCTATGATACGTGTCACCTGCTCCGTTGGTCTGTCAGTCTCTGCCCTAAGCACCAGGCAGAGCTCGTACAAGCTTCAGGTGAGGTTAAGACACGCACCATTGTTGACCCCAAGAACCACTACTAGCCAGAGACACAGACACTCGACTACGGTTGACAAGAGGACAGGAGCACACGTCACTCTCCAAGTGTCACCAATGATTGAGGGAAGCTCGCAGCTCAGAGGAGTCTGAACTGAAGTTGACTTTGCTGCCAAACAAGATAAACTTCATTGTTACAGAACATTCTAGTGTTCCTCTAGACTGACTTAGAAGAATGCTCTGGGCAAAGTGTTCAACATTCCTCAACATCTCAGTGAGAGAGCTTCTGGATTAAGGCAAAACAAACTGAATCATTACCAAGGCTGAAGTGAACACACCCGGTTATAGAAGACATCAGCCTCGTCCTTCCTGCGCTGCATGATGGTGGTGAAGGCCTGGCCGAAGACCTGCTCCAGGTGAGGGTGTTGACCCGGGCGGTGACCAGGAGACGGCGGCTCGTCAGCCTGCCACAGCCGGGTCCTGACGGTGCTGGAGCCTCCAGGGGGCACCGTCAGCACATAGTGGGCACACACCTTGGTGCCTCGTCCCTTCGGGT